CGGGTGAGCAGTAACAGGAGGCACTAAACCAGGCCAGGCTGGCTCTGCTGGAGTCCAGTCCAGTGCCGAGTTCCTAACCCGGCGCTAGGGAGCAGGGGCAGGGCCGTGGTGCGGAGCCAGAGCCCGCCTGTTCGCATTTCCCCAGGCAGACGGGGTCCCAGGGGGATTCTTCCCCCGTTGCACAAGGTGAGGGGGAGCTGGGGAGCCCCCCGAAACGTGGCTCTCCTGAGTCCCGGCTCGGGCTGTGTCCCCAGTGCCCCTTGCCCTGCCCTACCTCGGCTGTTAGTTACTGCCCGTACGTCCGGCCCCTTTCACACCGGCTCTGGGCGCCCCACTGCTGGGGCTGCGATCAAAGCCGGCCAGGCTAGGAATGGGGGGCCCCTCGCCGCAGGACACCCCCAGACACAGCCTGTGCTCGGCAGGCCCCTAGGAGGCCAGCTGGCTGGAGGGCAGCCACGGAGCTGGCGTGCCACGCTGGGTGCTCCCGGGCCGTGGCGCATGCTCCTCCTGGGGGCGGCCGGGGGAAGTGCAGCCAGCCGAGGAAGGGAGATCTCAGCCCATCGCGTGTTGTCTCCTGGGCGCCCTTGCCCCGTGGTGTGGGCCGCGGGCTCGGCCGTCCTCACCACAGGTGCGGGTGACGGGACAGCAGCGTGAGCATGTGACCGCCGGGCCCCTCCCCAGCATGTTTACCAGCCGCGGGGGGCTGGCCTGGACCTGCGGCCTGCAAACACAGGGCTATTTTTGGCTGCCTGTCGCCATGCAGGATGGCCCCAGCCCCACCCCACGCTGTGTGCTAGCTCAGAGCTTTGTGGTGAGTGCCCCCCACGGGCCGGAGCGCCCTGCCCCAGGGGAATCGGCAGCGTGTTCCGCACCCCCAGGGCCGCCTGCTTGCCCCGACGCAGCTGCCATCTCGGGCAGGGAAGGGACTGAATTCAGCCGCCACCCGGCTGGGCCTGTCGCGGGAGCAGTGAGCGCGAGCGGCCCATGCCCCCGTGCGCATTCGCTCCCCCCTGCGGTCTGCCCCCTTGCCATGCAGGCTACAGCCCAGCTGTGCCAAGCGACCGCGCCGCCCGGGTGGATTCGTTTCCTGGCCAACTCTTGGCCCACGCTTCATTGAGGGCCCGTCGGGGCTGCCACGGACTGGCCCCAGCTGACACCAGCCTGGGTCTGGCCCCAGTTGCGCCTTGAGCTGGGGCTGCTGGCGACTAACCCATGTCCCTCCTCCCGCAGCAAACAGCGGCACAACAAGCTGTGGCGCTCGCAGTGCGCCCAAGAGCGCAGGATCCACCTGGAGTTCGCCACCAGAGGCTTCCGCGCCGAACGCCTCGAGGACGAGCTGAACCTCAACATCAACGGGTGCCCGGCAGGGTGCTGCTTGGCCCAGGCCCAGTGCCCGCTGGACAATTGCCACGCGGCCGAGGCCTTGATGCAGCTCGACGAGCCCGCGGAGCTGGCTGCGGCCTTCCCGGACCTGACCGTGGAGGATCTGGAGACAGACGCCCTGAAGGCGGAGCTGAACCTGCACTTGGTGCCCATGGAGGAATTCACGGCGTGGGGTGCCCGGCAGGGTGCTGCTTGGCCCAGGCCCAGTGCCCGCTGGACAATTGCCACGCGGCCGAGGCCTTGATGCAGCTCGACGAGCCCGCGGAGCTGGCTGCGGCCTTCCCGGACCTGACCGTGGAGGATCTGGAGACAGACGCCCTGAAGGCGGAGCTGAACCTGCACTTGGTGCCCATGGAGGAATTCACGGCGTGTCTGAAAGACCCTCCCGGGTGGCCTGATCCGCACTCCCCCAGCCCCCAGCCCGAACCTGCGGACAGGATCGACTTCTTCAGCGCCCGCGAGAAGTTCGTGGAGCTGTCCCAGGAGAGCCGGCCTCGCGCCTGCTCCCACTCCCG